CACCCCCCTCCCTTCAGCCCCATTCCCCCCCCTTGTCACTGTCACACTGCTTGGCCACCACCGTGAGACAGGGTCACAGACCCCAGGGGGGGAGGGAAAAGGAAGGGGAAATTTTTTGGACTCTGACTCAACCAGCCACCTGCTTTCCAGGGATTCATGGGGATCCTTCCTGCCCCACTCCACCCCCCAATCCTTCCACTCCTGATGGGGAGAAAAGAAAAGGACACTCTGCAAAAAGTCTCCAAGTGACTGGGAAATCTGGTCTGAGCCACCGTGGGCGACAGGACCCCGGCAGCCCAGATCCCAGTGTGGAAACTGCCCCATTCCCAAGGAATTCACCACCGTGAGACAGGGTCACAGACCCCAGGGGGGGAGGGAAAAGGAAGGGGAAATTTTTTGGACTCTGACTCAACCAGCCACCTGCTTTCCAGGGATTCATGGGGATCCTTCCTGCCCCACTCCACCCCCCAATCCTTCCACTCCTGATGGGGAGAAAAGAAAAGGACACTCTGCAAAAAGTCTCCAAGTGACTGGGAAATCTGGGTCTGAGCCACCGTGGGAGACAGGACCCCGGCAGCCCAGATCCTGGTGTGGAAACTGCCCTGCTCCCAAGGAATTCCCTGCTCCCGACACCGCAATGGCATTACCCACATTGATCTCCCCAGCTATTTAGGCAAGAGCAATGTTTAATCCCCCGGGAAGCACACTGTGGTGACTAAAACACAGGGGCTCTTATTAATATCCACTCATTAAGCACCATTTTCTCCTGAATTTAATCCCAGGTACCACCTGCTGCTGAGCTTTTCAAGTCACCTGCTGATGCCCTGGCTCCTTCCTGCCCCAGGCTCAGGTGAGGAGGGGGGTTTCCTGGCACCGCAGCATCCCACTGGGAATTCACCATCACACACAAGCAGGGAGAGCTGGATGCACCCCAGGATGCCCAGAACCATCCACCCAGCCCTGGTCCCAGCCCAGCAGGGTTTGTCTGCTCTGGGATGAGTTCATCACCCAGTGCCCCAAAGCCAAGGACCTTCCTCAGCTCTTGGTGTGGGAGGAACACACCTCCCTCCCCCCAAAAAACTTCCCAGCTCCACATTTCTTTCCTTTTCCCACTCCTCCCTTGGGATGAGTTCATCACCCAGTGCCCCAAAGCCAAGGACCTTCCTCAGCTCTTGGTGTGGGAGGAACACACCTCCCTCCCCCAAAAAAACTTCCCAGCTCCACGTTTCTTTCCTTTTCCCCACTCCTCCCCGACAAAACTGACAGGTTCAAGGGTTTCGCCCTGAAAATGGCTTTAAAATGTGGCATCCTCAAATTAAAAGCTTGGTGTTGTCCCTCATCGTGGTCCCTTCCACCTCCAACATAGGACACTGCTGCTGGAGGGACCGTCTTTGGTGCCAGCACCAAATCTGAGCCTAATTACTAAAGAGCTTAGGACAACTTTGTGGGTTTTCTTTCCAGTGCAACAATAAATTTATTAATCCTGGCCCAAATTCATCAAGTTATGACAGTCTCTCCCCAAAACTCACCCTGCAAAGGCAGGTGCTCCCCGTGCTCGATGCCACCTTGGGGTGGGACACAGAGAGAAATGCTGTTTATCGATACTTTGATGTTTTGGGCCATCTTTCATGTCTGGGGGACCTCGGGTCCCCCAGTTCAGCACTAAATGCCAGGGCCATGACCCGCTGTCTCCTACCTTCATCCTAAACACACCAGCTGTACCCAAAAAGCGTCATCCAAGATGAACCCGAGCAACTACAAACCGATTACACGTCCCTGTGTTTGCCCCTGGGAGCAAAAAGACACTTTGCTTCAGAATAAAAACCTCAAAAGAGCAGGTTGGGGCAGTTTTAAATCCTTTTCCAACGCTTCCCCCATCACACCTGCCCATGAGTGGACAGGTCTAAAACCCAGCCTTTTACTAAATTGAAAACACCTGAGACTAATTACACAGCAGCTGATTGAACTCAAGGGGACCAAGGACCCCAGGTGTGTCCTATTGACCCAGGGAGGCTGAATTTGCTCCTTGTGGTTCTCAGACCAGGCAAGGGTCACCCTCAGAAAGACCGGGTCCCCCTCCCAGCCTTCCTCCGCTCCATCCTCTCCATCCCTGGCTCTCCTTGAGCCCCACCACCACACTCACCATCAAGGCTGGAGCCCCTGCCAGGTTGCCACCGATGGCTGTGAAGTTGAAGGGAGAGACGGCCGCCACGAAACCCTGGGGGTGGGAGAGGGAAAGGACCGACAGGAGTTCGGTGGCTCCTCTCACCGTGGTGTCACACCACAGCTCAGGGCCAAAAAAAGGAGGCTGCTGAAGCTGGGGGCTGGAGGGGGGGCATCCCCAAGCCTTCTCCTCACCTCCAGCCCCCGGTAGACCATGCTGTTGGTGCTGATGTCCACGCTGAGGGGCTGGCTGTGCTCCAGCTCCAGGGCGTACTTGGCGTTGAAGCGGAAGAAGTCGATCAGCTCCGCCGCGGCATCGATTTCCGCCTGGATGACGGTTTTGCCCTGTCAGGAGAGGTGGTGTGGGATAAAAGCACTCGGGGGAAGGTCCGGGGGGGGAATGCAGCAGCTGTGACCCACAGCAGTGTGACATGGCCCCTCCAGACACGGTTTGTGTGTTGTCTCTCCCATGCAGACCACATGCTCCCTCCCGAAAGCTGTGTCCTCCTGCAAGCCCCCGTCCTGCCACCTCCCTGTCGCACCCAGCCCAGGGAAAGGCAGCCCCTGCCTGAGCCAGGGGACATCACATCCAGCTGTGTCCCCCCCACAGCCCCTTAGAGCCCCCCCTGGGAAAGTCAGGGCTGCTGGGGCGCTTCACAAGGGGAAACGCTGATAACGGTAGCCCCCCACATGGGCTGACCCTGCTCCCATGAAGCCTGAGGACTCCCAGCCTTGCTCCCCTTCTTTCACAGCAACGAGGGAAGGATCAGTCCGGATCCCCCTTGTAATTCCAACGCTACAGCCTTTCCCACCACCACAAAATTAAGAGTCATTTAGATGTGGTGTTGGGGGATATGGTGGAGGGGAGAACTTTGTACAGTAGGGTTGATGGTTGGACTCAATAATGCCAAGGGTCTTTTTCAACCTGAATGATTCTCTGGTAAAATACCGTGGCAGCTCTTCCTGCCTTTCTTCCCCGACTCCCAGCTCCCCAAATTCCCTCCCGTTCACCCCCAGGTCGATCCCACATCCCACTCACCTGCCCGATCATGGTTTTGGCCAGCACCTCTGCTCGCCTGGGGCCGCTCAGCATGTCAGCTGCCTTCAGGAAGATCTGCGCCCGCTCCTGGACAGGTTTCAGGTCCCATTCCTTCCTCGCTGCCAAGGCGGCGTTAATGGCTTTGTTAATGAGCTTGGACTCAATAATGCCAAGGGTCTTTTTCAACCTGAATGATTCTCTGGTAAAATACCGTGGCAGCTCTTCCTGCCTTTCTTCCCCGACTCCCAGCTCCCCAAATTCCCTCCCGTTCACCCCCAGGTCGATCCCACATCCCACTCACCTGCCCGATCATGGTTTTGGCCAGCACCTCTGCTCGCCTGGGGCCGCTCAGCATGTCAGCTGCCTTCAGGAAGATCTGCGCCCGCTCCTGGACAGGTTTCAGGTCCCATTCCTTCCTCGCTGCCAAGGCGGCGTTAATGGCTTTGTTAATGAGCTCCTGAGGAAGAAAAGGGGAAAGGGCAGCTGGGAGGAACCCACCACCAGGGCGGGAGAGGAAAGCGAGGGGCCACCCAGCCCCAGGCACAAGCCACAGTAGCCATCGCAACCCATCACAACCCCAAATTTACACCTTTCTGATTTGTCCCAGGAATCTCGGGACTTGGAAAGCCAACACCTGCTCCCAGAGCCCCCCTGCTCACAACCCGAGCAGAGATCTGTGTGTCCTCCAGACTTCTCACCACCAAGCTCAAAGAGCATCACGCCACAAGCCCCGTAACCCCACCACAAGATAAAGTTCACTAAATCCAGGCAAAATGCTGCCACCTCCCCCCAAAACACCATCAGGGAGGGCAGTGAGGTGCACCCACCTTGTTGGCGTAGCAGTACTTGGCCACCTTGTGCGCATGGTTAAACGGCTGAAAAGAGAAGAAAAGCCTCTGTTGTTATCAGTCTGACACATCTCCCTCCTCTCTCCTGCCGGGTACATCCCTCTGCTCTGTTTTCACGTGGTTTTCCCCCAAACTCACCGACAGCTGGTACCGCACCGTGGATGTCCACACCTCTTCTCCCCCAACCACGCAAGGGATGGCCTCTGTCTTGTCCTTCAGGTCGGCGAGTGCCTAAGGGAGAGGAGGAGAGCAGGGTGGTGGGAGCTGCAGGGCGAGTGCCTAAGGGAGAGGAGGAGAGCAGCATGGTGGGAGCTGCAGACCCAGACCTCCTCCAGCCCCATTCATCCTCCCCCAGCACCCAGACCTCCACCAGCTCTATCCATCCTCCCCCCTCCAACCCCACCAGCAAAGGGAATCCCGGGGACAGGCTTCCTCCCATCCCTGGGAATGGGGGGACAGGATGGGGATGGGGATAGGAGTTACAACTCCAACTGTCCCCAAAATTAAGGAGCTGGGCTGGGCAGGATGGGGCGTCCCCCCCACCCAGGAAAGAGCCAGAGGCTGCCCAACAGCACCAGAGGCACAAACTGGGACCTTAAGGACCCCCCCCAAAATCCCCATCCCCTGCAGTGGTACCTTCTGAAGCGCCGCTCGCTCGGGGCTCCCCGGCTTAAACTCGAGGATGGGCTCGTTGGTCACCTCGATGGCCGAGTGGTGCCCCCATCTCCGCCTGGGAGAGGAGAAAAATTGACACTCAAGTCCTCCCCGGCTTCCTCCTTCCCTCCGCGCCCCAACCTCCTCCCCACAACACGTGTTTGTGTCCCTGAACACCACGCTCTCTGCCCAAAACCAGCCAGGCGTGCCCCGGCCATCGCGCCCGTCCCGTGACAATGCCGGAGCCGGGAGCTGAGCCAGGACCAGCCCTTCTCCTCCTCCCTCGGAAAAAGGTGCTGGGAAAGGAATTGCGAAGGGATGAGGTGGAAGGGAAGCTCTGAATCGATCGGGTTTGCTCCAACGGGGGCCCTGACAAGCTGCCAGCTCCTGGCAAAGTCCATGGTGCGGGGGCAAAAGCCGGGCTCTGCCCGCTCCAGAGAGAGCCTGGACCTTGGCACCTGCAGGGCCTGCATTTCCCAACCCTGCAGGGGCCATTAAAGTGCCCATCTCAGCAGTATTGCCCCCAAAAAAGGGGAAAAAAAAGGGGGGGAGAAGGGGGGAAAAAAGAAGGGAGA